TGACTTCGAACACAAAACACGTTGTCGTTCGGGTTTCAACGCAGACATCTGACAATTTGCTGCCAGGTTGTTGTGCCGCTGAGCGAGCTACCTGGCATAGAAAGGTAATTAGGAACGAAACAGGTTCATAGAAACCCACCTATCCCTCCTCTGATTCTGAAGGCTTGCACCCAACCCAGCCACAGCCTCTGAGGATCTTGGCTGAAAAGAAGGTGCCTCTTGGATGCATTGTTCCTGATGCTGATGATGCTTGGGGCAATTGGGTGGCTAGGCTTGCGCCGTCCTGGTTCAAGCCATTTGTCAATACCAAAGCTTAAATTCAGCCCAAGGAGCAAGGATGGCACTGTGGTACAATGGTTTCCTTTAGTGGCGGACTCCATGATGGGCGTCAGCCACGGGCATCTCAAGTTGGGCTGCTTGGATCAGCGTTTGGAGCAAGGCTGGAGCCGGCCCAGCAGTCGAACCTCAACCGCCGTCAAAGAGGCCGACCCCGTGTCTCCGTTGGCATAGACTCTAGAATCCCTTTGCACAGAGGTTCTTGACGAAACTCAATGACCTGAGGCTTTCGCATTGTGGGTCAGAGACATCTTTCCAAGAACCGGATGCTCGGTTTCGGAAGACACACAAGATTGTCAGAAGGTGATTGTTCAGCACTGAAACCTGCAACAGTTCAACATGCTGCTGATTTTAAGCACATCTGAGGGCAATGAACCAGAGAAGCGTCAGCTGCGTGAACCCAGTGTTCAGCACACCCATGGTTCACAGCGCCACGCACGCCGGCTTTTGAACCGGCTGGGCCACGGCAAAAAGATTTGCTTGCGACTTTAACGTGCAATTGCAACAACGGCTTTCGGCCCGGGAGCCATATCAAATCTGGAACAGCTGCAACTTCACAATGTGGTGCGATTCTGGCCCCGGTAGAGTCTACAACTGAAGCAAGCATTGAAGGGATCAAAAAGACTGCCTTGCACTCCAGGCCCGGAATCGTGGTTGGCCAGGCTGAGCAATGCTGCTCGGTAAAAGGGTGAGCAGTGAGTACTGTTCAATATGCTGTGCGTTTCGGACCTCCAACCAAAATGCGTGCGGCAAGGGGTTGGAAGGTTTGAGTTGGAGACAGTTGGCCAGCATTTTTGGACTGGTGAGGCTGCCGTTCTGCATGTTGGGGAGGACGTCATTAAGGCGGTTGGCAAGTCAGTTCCCCAAAGTGCAAACCGTTTCTTCAATTTTGTGGTCTTGTCAGGTCCGAGACGCACTCCGAAAAAACTTGAAGAAAGGCGTCAGGCTCCCAGAAACCCTACTGGCCAAGGAGCTTTCGTTGTTCGTTTTGATTATATAATTTACCGTGATTTGATGTATATAAAAGCTTTTGAGCTGCATCAGCCAAGCACTCCTTCTTAAGTGCAAAGGCGCTAAGCTGTCCCAAGCGACCTATTTCATACGGTTGCGTTTGATCACATTAATCACTTCTAGATACTAGCTGGTAGCCAGAGGAACCGACAGACCAAGGAGTGGGACTCCTTCACTTGCATCTTTGAGCAGTTCCCACACCAGGCTGAACGGTTGATCCGCCAATTGCTGTGCAGCTTGTGAAGCTACAGGTCAACGTGTGTCGTGATGACCAGTATGTGGGGCGCTTTGGGAAAGGACAGGTTAACGTGGCCTATCACAAGTCACACGTGCCTCCTTGGTTTTGAGAGACAGTGCGTGAGCTGACCATTGTGCATGCAGCATTGAAGATCGAAGGCGACAATACACATGCCATGCATCCAAAGGAGCTCAATGTGATCCCGCACCCGGGCAGGCCGCTGGTTGCATTGAAGATTAAGAGGACGTTCAAGGGGTTCAGGTAGTTTGGAAAGAGCTGTTGCATGTGTGTGCCAGGCCGCCTGTGGACTTAATGGCTTCACATGCTGTGCCCTTGTTCAGTAGCTCCAAGGTCCATTGGTGTGGATTGAGTCTTGGGGTTCCGAGGCTGTCATTGTTAATGTCCTCTCACCAGCCGAAAGAACCATACTGATGAAGGATGATGAAGATACATGCTCGTTGTTCATCAGGTATGTCCTTCTGGGGCCACTCTGAGAAACTCGAGATCTTTACAGGGGCCCGATGGGTTCGGCCACCCGTTGAAATGTTCTTCACCCTGGACCCTCGAGCTGCTGTGATACAGCGCTGAGGCCCTATTGAAGGACGAACAAGGTAATAGCTAGGCAATCAGCCATTTGCCCCTCTCTCTCTCTCTCTTCTTTTTCTCTATTGTGATCTATTATGTATTTCTGCAGAATTATTTGCTTGGCGTGTCTCCATCACCCTCTCACTCTTGACCTTGCCGTCTGTGTCCCTCCTGAAAACCTCAATGTTTCTCTGACGCCAAGGACCTGCCCTGCAATTGTGGGCTGGGCGAGGCTTGCGTGAAGACGAAGGAGCACAAGGCGCGCTGCAGCCTGCAGCCTTTTGCGACTTGAGGGAGAGGGAGAGGGAGAGGGAGGGAGAGGGAGGAACGAAAGAGAGAGGGGAACTTGACTCAACAGAGGAGCCATGGATGCGAGAGAGAGAGAGCCTACGATCTTAAGATGTGGCTCCAACACTATAGGTGCATGAGGGAGACACCTCAACATTTTGGCCCGCTGGGCCCGAAGTTTGGCATTTTGCATCTTACCAACAACCACGCAAAAGGCAGACCTTCGCACACCCAAGAAAAGCGAGGGAGCAGAAACAATCAACTGGAGTCTTTACCATAAGAGCAGGGAAATAACAATGCAACAATTGTTCAAGAAGTGAAGGATCTGCGACAAGGGCCAAGAATCACCGTTTGGGTCCTAAAGGATGCTAAAGGGCCAAAAGGCTACAAGTCTATAACGGGCAAACGTGCTGTTTGCGGCGGGTGAACAAGCAACTTAGTCGGGTCACAAAAGACATGTAGTCGGATTGTGAGCTGAGCTATCTGTCAGACGTTGCCCCTGGGTCTTGCTTGGGCTTCAGTATGCCAAAAAGACCTATATAGCTATATATATAAGTCCGCACGAACGCCTATTGCTAATTGTGGAGCTTGTCAGATGAATCGGGATGAGCAACAGTACGAGCGACACTGCTGCCTGCAGCTCAGGCTTCTTCTCAATGATTTTGTGCGGTTGTTGGATGGGAGTAGCCGAAACATCCAATGACGCAGGACAGTTTGCCGGCTGAGGTGCCCACAGTTTGGAGCCTAGCCCTCAGGACCACCGTTTGGGAAACGCTCAATGGCGATTGAAGTGTGTAGGTTTTTGTGGCCATGAAGAAAAGTACCCTTTGCCAATCACTTTTGATCGAGCAATTGAATCCGGCGGCACGAAGCAAATGAAGGAGCACTGTATGCTGGTTCCAGAACAGCAGCCGATGACCATCTATGGCGATTCACACTTTTATTCGCGACTTGGTGTGGCAAGGCTTAAAGAGACACTCTTCATTATTCTTCGGCATTTGGATACACATTTCTCGATGTCCGCACGTTACCCCGCCATTTCATGAATGATTTTTCCCTTGGTGTTCGTCTCGTTTGGATCATGTTGCCACAGCAAAAGGTTGCAGGTCGCTCTGCGTCCATGTTGACCTTATAATGATCCTCAAGCCACCAGAATTCGAGACATTAGTTGTATGCTTCAGTGTCCAACTTGCTCTTTTTCTTGCCCAGGTCCTACCTGCTGAAGCTTGTTCGCATTCAGTGGATGGCATGACGCAGAGTGTCGTTTAGAATTCGATGGGATGTCCTTATGCATAAAGCAATTGGTCCCACATGCTCCTGGTTGAAGCTCTTGCCAAGGAACGACTTTATTGATGGCCATGGCCTGGGAAGTCAACATCCAAATCCGCTGACGGAGTAGCAACTGCAAAAAACTACAATGGGTGTGGTTTTTCCGAGGCCGCATAGATGCTTCACGTGCGATGGAGCGCTGCAAGGAACACAGGGCTGGGACTCTTTTGGATTCGGATCCCGCTCGGGTGTGGAGCTTAGCCTCGAGGACAGGTGTGTTTGCCGACAGATGGTAACCCTAGGGACTTGATGCAGGACTTCGGATGAACCATGGCCATGTCTGGAAACGCCACACCAGCTTCGACAGCCTTTCGAAAGCACGGCCAGAATTAAGGCTGTACTTCACTGTGGTTCCATGATTGCCGGGCTGTCGTCGTGCCCTCAGATCCATGGCGAGCTGCAGTGAGCCTATGAATCACATCCCTAGCATGGCTTCAAGGTTGTGGCGAGGGCGCTACGACCGGACCTTCAAGTGGCGGGGCAACCCGTTTCTTTTTAAATTGTTATATGCTATATAATCATTGCGACCGCACAGGGGGCCACGCTAAATCTCCGGACCCAGTTAACCCAGTTGACCCAGTTGAGGTCAACTGGGTCCGGAGATTTAGCGTGGCCACCGGGTCGGTCAACTGGGTCCACCACCACCACGACGACGACGACTACTACTGCTACTGACCTCAACTGGGTCAACTGGGTCCGGAGATT